GTCAATCCTTAATGGTATATACTTACGCACCAATTAATGTAAGTAATTCTACAAATTTCAGTGTAGTCTAATATACTATAATATAGCATAGCATAGTATACACCTTAGAGTAGTCCCCTTTATAGGCAAAATTTGGGTTGCCTAACTAATGTTAAATTATAAAAAGAAATAAATTAGGATTTCCTTACATATAAATTTATACTTTTCCAATAGTCCAAAATAGTTATTCACATAAGCTTCATTAAACAAAAGAGACTATGAGCAAACCAGTTCCACTGCAACATGGCCAAACATATAACCTACAGCAACATAAATTAAAAGTGATATAAACATGACAAAATGATACTTCAGGACACAACATAAAAATGTAAAAGTGTTTTGATGTGTTTTCCTGGGTTTGCTGTTTATTTGATGATACATTTATTTATTTATTTATTTTTTATTTTATTTTATTTTTTTAATCCTCACCCGAGGACATCTTTCGATATTTTGTTCAGATAGAGTGAGAGGGAGAGAGAGAGAGAGAAGCACCGACGTGAAAGCGACACATCGAGTGGCTGCCACCCACACGACCCAACCAGGGCTGGGGACAAACTGCAACCAAGGTACATGCCCTTAGCGGGAACTGAACCAGGGTCTCTCCGGACCGCAGGCTGACACTCTAACCGCTGAGCCAAACCGGCCAGGGCTGATGATACATTTAAAAACTAGCTACATTTTGAAAAGCAATTTACTATAAAATAATTATTTTAAAAATATTTTATAATTTGCCTTCTGAAGTCATATAATGTGATCGTCTTTTTAGCACTCAATTCCTAGAATAATATTTACAATCTACAAAAAATTGAATATGAAGAGAGGGAAATCTTACATTCTAACCGCATTATAGCCATAGCCGATTTATGTCCCCATCTCTTAGTTTATAATTGTTATAACAAAAGGAAGAATTCCAACAACCCCTTTATCCTGTGAGACCTAGGGACTGATATTAGTAGATTAAACTCTGAACTAGTGAATTTTATTCTTCAGTGGTAATTACATTTATTATTGGCTTTAAGTGCTTAAGCAAATACACTAACACAATATTCTAAGTTCAAATTTTAAAACGTAGCAGAAGGAGGCACTGGGCCTTTTCCAAAATTACTTATGAAGAATTTTGGTTTCAGAAAAAAAAATAGCTAGAAGGGACTAAACGATCCACAGACTCCAATGACTTAATCTACTATTAAGAAACTAACTTAGGGGGAGCTTAACTAAGGTAGCACCATTGCATATTGATAACATTTAGGGATTTTGGAATGAGAGTAAAAGTTTAGCTCATGTGTCTGTGGCTTTGTTACCTTTGGTAAAGTCATTGATACTATTTTAATCTTGGTAAATTTCTCAATATTTCTTACTTTCAATCTCCTCATCTATAAAATAGAATAAAATATCAAATCTACTATACACCAATCAGTTATTATTGGTATATTATCATTATTATTATTTTTAAATCCTCAGCTGAGGTTATGGTTACTGATTTTAGAGAATACAGAGAGAGAGAGAGGACCCGAGAAACATCAAGGTGAGAGAAAAACTTCAGTTGCCTCCCATATGCACCCCAACCAGAGATGGAACCCACAACCTAGGTATGTGCCCTGACCAAGAATCAAACCATAACCTTTGTGGTGCATGAGATGATGCTCCAACCAACTAAGTCACTGGGCCTAGGTGGTGTCTTGTTTTTTAATTCACAATCTAGAATAAAAAAGTGTGAATAAGGAAAGACTAATGATAGGCTTACTACATATAATTTTGTATTTCTTAAAAAAAAAGTATTACTAGTATTATTAAAAATTAAAACAATACTTTAAAAATCATTGTAAAGATTAAATAAACTGAAGAGTAAAAATATATTAATGATTGCTGTATATTCTACTTTTTCATCATAAATATGTGGTGCACATATAGAAACATCTGGAAATTTGATACCACTTGGGGAAAAGTAGATAACTAATTGATAATTCCTTTTTTAATCTTAATGATCTTGTGATGTGTACATCTAACTTTTGTCACTTGATTGATGTACCTATGTTTCTGAGGAGGAATAAGAAAATTCAAACATTTACTGGTACAAATGAAATCTTTCTGGCCACAGCCCAGAAATAAAACTACAGCCCTGAGCAAATACAAATTCTCATCATCATCTGTAGTGTCCTTTATCTCTGGTTCCTGAGATCATCGGTTATGAGAGGCAATGCAATTGAAATAGTTCACTTGAGCTCAACTAGATATAGTAGAACCCTTTTAAGAAGAGTTCATCCCTAAGAAATGTTCCCTTAAGGCATTAGAAATGTTTAGATCATGTACACATTCCCATATTTTAAAATTTCCCTTAAGGAAATGTACTGTTATACATACTATAAGAGTGGTGGGTATGCTTTTCTAGATTACTTCATTTCTCTAAAATATATTTATTATGAAAGTTACTTGAAGAAAAATTTTGTTAGCTAATAAGGGTACATTTGTGTGTGTGTGTGTGTGCATGTGTGTGTGTGTGTGTGTGTTCTTTGCTTGCAGTTTTGCAGTCGTATCTTTATATAGGTGATATAACCCTTATACTTTCTTCTGAGGATTGGTTCCTCATCTGGGCACCACCACACTTCTTTCTTAGACGGCAGAGATAAGAAACTATTTGAGGAGGTTAGGAGTGGAAAAAATGGTAACATATCTAAATAAGAAAATGTCCTGATTGTAAATTTTCTAATATGATTGGTGCTTTGAGAGGAAAGAGCAATCAGGGGTGAAAGAGGTACAGAATTTAAAGGGTGAGGGAGGGGGATAAAATCTGAATACCAATTGCCTATTACATCAATTCTGTTCACTTAAAATCAACTTTGTTCTTTGCGTCTCTTCACATAAAGTATTTATTTACCAAGTTGAATAAACAAGACCAATTAATTTTAAAAGTGTGATTTTAGAAGATTACTATCAACATTTTTCTTTCTAAATAGCCAGCGTTTCTTCTGTCTCTTGTTCAAAGTTTTTCCTCCTATCTATCGCAGACACTGCACGAAGTACCCTGCTTTCCCAGTCTGTTTCCGGGGAACAGACTGAGAAAGTTTCAGAACTGAGTCCCATTACAAAAAAAGCAAAAACAATAAACTTCTTTCTGTCTAGCTCCTTTATATCTGCAGTTCTCAATTGCATAAAATTTTTTGATAAAATAGTTTCAAATTGATTATATTTTTTCTTCTTTCTATATGTGGTAATGGGTTAAATTAAAAGAGTGGGATTGTTTTAGCAGTGTTATAGGTTGCCTGAAAAAGGGACCTCAATCCTCTCTCTCTCTCTCTCTCTCTCTCTCTCTCTCTCTCTCTCACACATACACACACACACACACACGCACACATTGACTTGAGCCTTTATCCACACCCCCACTGATTTTCACCAGATGATCACAACACATTTGATTATATAAAAATATTACATATGGATATGAAAACTGCCCCCTTTAAGAATTGGCTTCTAACCAAGAAAAAAAAAAATCTATTCTACACTTCCTTGAATATCCCCAACCACAGGCCTTTCCCAAAGTCTTTCACTCCTAGCTTTTTTAAAATGCATGCATCCTTCAATATTTGATCTTTTAAGCAGATTAGCAAGCTTGTAACAGCTGTCCAACTCATGTAAGACCTAACTAAAAGGGAAATTGATATAAACATATGATCTCTGTTTTGACAAAAGAAAGGACCAAACAAAACATTTTTTTAATGTCCTTTAACTTCTAAGCCTAAAATGATGCACAATTTTTAGAGCGTAGTGAGGTAAAAGGTGTCGATTTTGATAAGTAAAGTCAGCAAAACAGCCATCTGAGAGGCAGCATTTTCACATTTTCACATTCTCTCTGGTCACAGATGTTTGTAGAACTTGGTTTTTATAAACTCCCTCTAAGTTTGAGGACTCCATTGATGCCTTCCCTTGGAAAAGCCTGTACACTGCTCTTTCTCAGCACAAGTGACCGAGCACGGAGAGCAACTGCCAGCTACCTGCAGACAGAGTGCCCCCTCCCCCCACCGCACCCCCAGCCTTAGAGACCGCAGATTGCTATCTCCTCCTCTCAAAATGCAACTGGTTATTTACTTGTATGCATGTTAAATTAGCAGGAACGGCTGCGGAAACTTTGTGAGCCAGTGACTATGTGTGAGTGAGTGAGTGTGTGTGTGTGTGTGTGTGTGTGTGTGTGTGAAGGGGGTGGGGTGCATTCTGTCTGCCAGTGGATTTTTAAGGGCACTCAGGAATGAGATCGGGATTTTTCCCTGCCCCCTCCCTCCTTTTCCAGTTCTCAGTGAAATCTTTCAGATCTGGAATCAAAGATGTTAGCGTGCATTGTGTTTTCACCCTGTGGACTTAAATAACATTCAAGAAAAATCAGAGAAACCTAACTCTCAATGACCAAATTGACTAAAATTCTATACCAAGTTTTAAAAAGGAAAGAATGTGCCTAAATTATACACCTTGAGACAAAAATCCATAGCCAATTCTGCTATTATATAAAATATAAGATATGAATATGTTCCAAATAGCTACTTTCAACATACCCTCCCCCAAAAAAGGTTTCAAAGACATCAAGTAGCATAAAACACACTGTACTGCAGAGACAGAAGAAATGCATTTAAAGCACCGATGAAAATGGCGTGCAGTATAATTACCTCAAATTGCTGTTCGCTTGACACCCTGACACTAATTTTATTCAAGCCATTGGGAAATAAATGTTTTAAAAGCACTTCTTTCCAAATGCTGGAGCTAGTGGGTGCTGCGAGGTCATTAAGGAAAGGAAAGGGTAAAGTTTCCACCATGCAAAAAGAATCAAATAATCCATTTAAAATAAGAGTCTATGTGGATCCACAGCCTTTAATGCCCACATTTTTAACGCTTGCCCTGTACGTGGATTGATTTCTTTTTTTCCTTCAGCATTCCCTCACCAGATGGATTTTTGCTACTGCAGATCAGCAGAGGGTGTCAGATCTTTCAGAGTGCACCAGGCTGGAACAAGCAGAGCTTCTTAGCAACTCTCTTCGTTCGCCCTCCCCATTCTCGCGCTCTCTTCCTCCCTCAGACAACTCGCCCCCCGCCCTCCGCCCCCTCCACGTAATTCCGAAAGAGCAGAAGCAAGAGAAGGAGAACAAGAAACAAGCTAGTAGCCGAGATCCAGAGCCCAGGGAGGGGGGGAAAGGCTTAGAGGACTGAAGGGAAGGAAACGAAAAGGATGGACAGCTACAAAACGCGGCGATTGCGGAAATTTTCCAGCGCCATTGGCTCGGCAGCGTGAGTCCTTCTGTCGGGCGTGATTTCAGCACCGGGGGGACTGGACAGCACCTCGGGGGGGACTTCTGGGCAACCCACAGCTACAGCAAGAACTCCATCAGCAGCCTCAACAACAGAAGCCGCGGAAAGCCCTGCTTTGTATCAGAGGCAAGGTCAGTCCGACGCACAGCCATGCACAGGCAGTGCGCCTGTACTACGCTGCAAACCCTCTGCTTGTTTCTCTAACATGCACTTGCTTCTAATTACTAGCATTGTTCCCATCCTGATTAGTGAGGACCACTAGACGAGATTCTGTTAAGTATGCATTTTTAATTTGTACGTATATATTTAACTTCTTTTTTAAAGGTTGAGGGGAAGTGGGGTTATTTTTCTACTTTTTTTTTTTTTTTTTGCTTGCCTTGCACTACGTGCCTGGATAGTTTGTGGATATAATTATTGACTGGCGCCTGGGTTGTTGCAGTGCGGGGGGGTTAGGGAGGAAGAAATCCACCCCCACCCCCCCAAACCCTTTTCTTTTCCTTCCCTGGGTTCGGACATTGGAGCACTAAATGAACTTGAATTGTGTCTGTGGCGAGCAGGATGGTCGCTGTTACTTTGTGATGAGATCGGGATGAATTGTTCGCTTTAAAAATGCTGCTTTGGATTCTGTTGCTGGAGACGTCTCTTTGTTTTGCCGCTGGAAACGTTACAGGGGACGTTTGCAAAGAGAAGATCTGTTCCTGCAATGAGATAGAAGGGGACCTACACGTAGACTGTGAAAAAAAGGGCTTTACAAGTCTGCAGCGATTCACCGCCCCGACTTCCCAGTTTTACCATCTATTTCTGCATGGCAATTCCCTCACTCGACTTTTCCCTAATGAGTTTGCTAACTTTTATAATGCGGTTAGTTTGCACATGGAAAACAATGGCTTGCATGAAATCGTTCCTGGGGCTTTTCTGGGGCTGCAGTTGGTGAAAAGGTTGCATATCAACAACAACAAGATCAAATCTTTTCGAAAGCAGACTTTTCTGGGGCTGGACGATCTGGAATACCTTCAGGCTGATTTCAATTTATTACGGGATATAGATCCGGGGGCCTTCCAAGACTTAAACAAGCTGGAGGTACTCATTTTAAACGACAATCTCATCAGTACCCTACCTGCAAACGTGTTCCAGTATGTGCCCATCACCCACCTCGACCTCCGGGGAAACAGGCTGAAAACGCTGCCCTATGAGGAGGTCTTGGAGCAAATCCCTGGCATTGCCGAGATCCTGCTAGAGGATAACCCGTGGGACTGCACCTGTGATCTGCTCTCCCTGAAAGAATGGCTCGAAAACATTCCCAAAAATGCCCTGATCGGCCGAGTGGTTTGCGAAGCCCCCACTAGACTGCAGGGTAAAGACCTCAATGAAACCACTGAACAGGACTTGTGCCCTTTGAAAAACAGAGTGGATTCTAGTCTTCCGGCGCCCCCTGCCCAAGAAGAGACCTTCGCTCCTGGCCCCCTGCCAACTCCTTTCAGGACAAATGGGCAAGAGGATCATGCCACCCCAGGGTCTGCTCCAAACGGAGGTACAAAGATCCCAGGCAACTGGCAGATCAAAATCAGACCCACGGCAGCGATAGCGACCGGCAGTGCCCGAAAGAAACCCCCAGCCAATGGCTTGCCCTGCCCTGGAGGCTGCAGCTGCGACCACATCCCAGGGTCGGGTTTAAAGATGAACTGCAACAACCGGAACGTGAGCAGCTTGGCTGATTTGAAGCCCAAGCTCTCCAACGTGCAGGAGCTTTTCTTGCGAGATAACAAAATCCACAGCATCCGAAAATCACACTTTGTGGATTACAAGAATCTCATTCTGTTGGATCTGGGCAACAATAACATTGCCACTGTCGAGAACAATACTTTTAAGAACCTTTTGGACCTCAGGTGGCTGTATATGGATAGCAACTATCTGGACACACTGTCCCGGGAGAAATTCGCCGGGCTGCAAAACCTCGAGTACCTGAACGTGGAGTACAACGCGATCCAGCTCATCCTTCCAGGCACCTTCAATGTCATGCCTAAACTGAGGATCCTCATTCTCAACAACAACTTGCTGAGGTCCCTCCCCGTGGACGTGTTCGCTGGGGTCTCTCTGTCTAAGCTCAGCCTGCATAATAATTACTTCATGTACCTCCCGGTGGCAGGGGTGCTGGACCAATTAACTTCCATCATCCAGATAGACCTGCACGGAAACCCTTGGGAGTGCTCTTGCACCATTGTGCCTTTCAAGCAATGGGCAGAACGCCTAGGTTCCGAAGTGCTGATGAGCGACCTCAAGTGTGAGACGCCAGTGAACTTCTTTAGGAAAGATTTCATGCTCCTCTCGAATGACGAGATCTGCCCCCAGCTGTACGCGAGGATCTCGCCCACTTTAACTTCACACAATAAAAACAGCACCGGGTTGGCGGAGACTGGGACGCACTCCAACTCTTACCTAGACACCAGCAGGGTGTCCATCTCGGTGCTGGTCCCGGGACTGCTGCTGGTGTTTGTCACCTCCGCCTTCACTGTGGTGGGCATGCTCGTGTTTATCCTGAGGAATCGCAAGCGGTCCAAGAGAAGAGACGCCAACTCTTCGGCGTCCGAAATTAATTCCCTACAGACAGTCTGTGACTCTTCCTACTGGCACAATGGGCCTTACAACGCAGATGGGGCACACAGAGTGTATGACTGTGGCTCCCACTCGCTCTCAGACTGAGACCCCAGCCCCGGTAGAGCAGGGGAGGGGGAAGGCGATACTCCCTCACCCCACACCCGGCCGGCGTCCTGAGGGTCAGAATAGCCCAGATCCAAGTCCGGTGAGCCCCAGGGCTTGATGGACAGCAGCAAATGAGTAACTGTGAACTCGCTCAGCTGAGAGGGTCTGATTCCTTAGCTGCCTCTGGAAACAAAGGGCGGACTGTGGCTTGGAGGGTGCTGCCAAATCGCTCTTTGCTGCGAGCCCCCTTTTGACAAAGCCCAGCAGGGGCCCTGCTCGAAGAACTGGCAGAGCGCTGGCCCTCAGCGGAGGCACTGTTGGGGAGGACTGTCGTGATCCTATCCATATATCCATATACTCACATCTATATAGAGAGATAGATATCTATTTTTCCCCTGTGGATTAGCCCCGCGAGGAGTGGGGCGTGATAGTTCCCTGTTGGCTACGCAGGGATGGGCAGTTGCACGAAGGCATGAATGTATTGTAAATAAGTAACTTTGACTTCTGAGAAAAACAAAAAGTGCTGCATGGCTCGCATGGATTCCACGCTCTCCAGGGACGCTGCCCTCCCCCGCGACTGGAGAGAGCGTCATGTTCACAGCACCCGCCCTCTTACCTGATAAGTCCCATCGTATCAAACTTTCTATAAACAAAATACAGTATAATCAGAAGTGCCATTTCGCCATTATTTGTGATCGGTAGGCAGTTCAGAGAGTACGTTTACTGTGAAAAAAAAAATGTTAAGGTTTTATTTAAGACATTTGCATGACTAATCATCAGTCCGTTTTATGAGTTAAAACTGTATTTTGTTGAGACGTTTCTATGGGTTGTTTTGGGTTCGTCCTTTTATTTTGATGGTGGTTTGTTTTGTTTTTGTTTTTGTTTTGGCGGGGGGATATTTTTCTATACATTTCCAATAAGGCCTTCCATCTGAATGTAAAATAAGTACCCATGATTTCTATTATAGTATCGGTGTAATTATTTAAAAGAAGAAAAGATTTGAGGCAGTTAAGCATGACCAATTAATGTCACTCTAGTGCTTAGGCTGCGATCCTATGGTAGCAATTCTGTGCTGGTGTAAATCTTACTTAAAAAGTAGGAAAAAAAGAACCAAGGAAGCACGTGAAACTTACTAATTCTATTCAAGGATTTTATAATGGCATATTTTTTCAGTATTAAAGTGAAAATGTTTTCAACTCTGGGTCTTTACATTTTTCCAGCTTCACATTTGCAACTGCTAAATTGGATTTGCGGTGGAAGGGACGGGAGAGGGGGTGGGCGGCGGGGGGTGGGTCCCTTCAAGAGCTACTTTAAGGCTCTTCCTCTAATCCTATTGCTTAGCTTTTTACCTTTTACGTAGCTCCCCTCCCCCTCCATCCCTGCCCGGACTTTTCCAGCTTTCCTTGTGGATTAAGTAATGTCTACAGCGCCCTCCCCCCGCCCCTTTCCTTATGCAGCACCGAAACCCTTTATTAATACTGGAAATCCCTCCTGCTGCTGCTGCTGCCGCCGCCGCTGCTGCTGCTGCACACACTGCAGATATACTAAGGATGTTAGTAAAGATTTGATTTAATTGACTGCCTAGATCGGTCTCATTAAGCAGAGTGGAGATTTCATTGGTCAGCATTCTTCAATGAAAGGCAGCCTTAATGACTGGCATTTGAGACGCTGCTGGCGTTTTGAATTCAACATCTGCTAAAAACGGTAAAACTAATTAATGCCCACTCACCCTCCCCGCCCCAGCAACTGCATATTGAAATTTGTTAAAACACTCATCTTTATGGAAATTAATCATTATCTCAAAGAAGTGTTTCTATTCCATAATTCGGATTTCTGGTTGTGACCCAATAATTAACAAGAAAAAGCACTGAACTATTTTAATTTTATGAGTCAATGTAACTCTGGCCTCAATTTATATTCCTCTGGGATTTCTAAGCAGTCTATTTTATTAGCAGTTAAGGGACAAAAAAACAAACAAAACTACACATATTGATGGGTTCTGCATTCCACCACATATCCACCATTGAGAAGTGTTAAAAGACTTCAGACCACAGATTAGGAAAAAATAAATTAGAGGATTGTAAATGAGTTAATGAAAGCCCCAGAGCAGCTGTAAGAAGATTTGCCTTCTAGAACTCATATTCTAGAGAAGTAATTTCCCAGAACAGTGATACAGTGATGTTCTGGAGTATGTATTATTTATTTTAAAGCTTTTTAAATAAAATCTTTATTATAAACCATGACTACTCCTAAGGCCATTCATCATTTTCTCTCCTGATTCTTTTGTTTGTGGACTACATTTCATAGTGGTGAAATTGTAACCTACAAATATTATGAGTTGCTTTTTATTTATTATTCATATGAAGGCCTTAATTCCTTTCATGGAAAGTACAACTGGGTTCTGGTATGCCATGGACAGACTTATTTGTGATGGAAAAGTTGGGAAGGGGACGAGTCATGTATTCAACAATATTATGACCTTAAGAAGGCAAAAAAAAGATGGCAGATGTTCTAAGTCTCTGGTGGAAAGTGACACTTAATAAAAGATACCTAGTGAGGCATGATAGTAATTTAAAAACTGATACATAACTAATCTAAGTCATAAAACTAGAACTTCTCTTAGAACTTGTGCACTGGGGCAAGAACTTTCCTTCTTACTGCTTTTTAAAAAATTATAATATTGAAGACAAAGTTAAAGCTGTAAAATTATTTTAAAAATATTAGCTTTAATGATTTTTGAGTGGTCATGTGTACCAGGCATGTACTAAGTGGTTTGCATAAATATTTAATTTAACTATCACAACCACAAAATAATTTAATAATATATTGCTATTTCCATAATACTAATGAAAACATTGAGGCTAAAGGAGACTAAGCAATAACTTAATTCATAACTCTTAAATAGTGAAGCTGGATTTAAACTTCAATGCCTCGTTCTAGGAATGAAGTAGTCATACATATTAACCTTTTAAAGAAGGCTATTCATGTGTGTGTGTGTGTGTGTATACACACACACATATATGTATAATCTGTAAAAGTATCATATTTCAAATTAAGAACTCAGGTTGTATCTTCTTAATTGAGTATGTATTGGTGACCCTTTAGAGATCCAGTATGTCTTGCAACAAAAGAAAATTGCTCTACATTTAGAAGGAATGTTCTGCAAGAGTGTACAACATATAAGGAAAAAAATGAATGTGCTATATAAATTTAAGAATTATAGAAATTCATATCATTAAACCTAAATTATCTATACATTGATTCTAAAATATTAAGATTATCAAATATTTTAATATATAATAATACATGTCAAAATTTATGTAGGAAAGATGTTCAACAATTCATATAAAAGAATATACATTATTTTGACAAAGTTGTACTTATTTTGATAAGTATCTCGGTCACAATTACATATATAAATTTTTATATGTGTATATATTAACTTGGTTTGAAGGATACATATTGCATATGGTTTCACTATATAACTATCATTTACATGTGTTTAGCTTCTTGTTTTTGTTTTATCTTTACATAAAATGCTCACGTAACTGCAGTTGTCATTTGCTTTAGTTGAGGTATCTTGTTTCCAGCTATATCAACCTCTAATTTATCAAAGCAAAAGAGATTTTAGTTGTGCCAGATGAAAAGGAGAATAGAAGGAGCTGTGCTGTTCAGTTTCATTGCTTTAAAGAAAGTAGTAGCTTCTGTGGCCGCTACTATAACTAAGCATATCTTAGAATTAAATTGTTGCCATAAAATTTATTGTTTATCCATTTTCACATGTTTACCTGGGAGGAAGCTGGAATAGTGTATCTAACATTAACAGAGCAGGGTTCTTTTTCTTAATGGTATTTATATCAGATGTAATTGGAATTGGCAGGCATTTTAGAAAGTATCAAAAATTTATATTGATGCTTACAAGGACAGTTTGTCAATATAGCTTTTTTTAGGTTGCTAATAAATATTATTTGGTATGTACAAAGAGTTGGTTGAATTTTTAAGGGTAAACACAGAAGTGCATGTTTTCAATGTGTTGGCAGAATATTAAGTAGAGTGTTTTCTAATTCTGCTCTTCTGCTAGTTTATTTATGAATACTACTTTTTATTTGCATGCTTACTTGAAGAAAAATGAAAATATAAAATGTGCTAAAAATTAGTTTTAGCATGTATTAACTCTTGGTCCATTTTCTCTCTTATTTCAGTCTGTGCCAAATACAACATATTTCCATGTGGCCTTGACCCATTATAAAAGGGGGGGGCGGGGATAAAATAAATAACTTCCATATAACCCTCTGGCATTTGCTTTCATTTAGAAAGTTGCCATAGATGTTATCCTAAAAATAATAGGACATGCAGCAATGACTTATAGGTGTTGCAACTTAAAGAAAGGCCACTAAAGAGTTTTATGAAAGCACATATTACAAACAGAACAATTCTGAAAACTGAACCAATATTAGGTCTCTTGTGACCTTATTGAAATATGGTGAAGTTTCAGAAAAAAATTGAATAGTTAAGATAATAACAAATGAAGTGTTTAATGATTATAATTTTATAATGAAATGGACCACTAGAGAAATCATCTTAGATACTGAAACCCAGTATAACCCTTTGGCCTCAATTGATTGGCAATTTCAGTTTATTGACTTAGAACTCAATGATCTAATTAATTACTCTTCTCCTTTCATTCACTTGCTAAATATATACTATATTACTTACTTGAAACAAAATTATATTTTCTACTTGAACAGGAGAACTATCTAAAAGTTTAAAGAATTTTGAAGACGTTAAAACATCCATGTTCAATTGATAACAAAAATTGGCAATTGCTACATAAAACATATTGTAGATTTCTCTTAGGAAACAAAAATAAAGCAATTCAAACCTCAAGAAGTCTGTGACTTGCAAAGATGAGAGGTAGACATCATTGTAATTATAGAATAGTACATCACTGGCATTTTCTAAAGGATGCTACTAGAATTTTGTATTTCTTTCTTTTAAGTATATTATGTTTTTAGCTATTTGGAAAAGTGCAGTTATCACATCTGTTTTATTAGCTATTATACAAATAGTTTAAAATCTTAAAGCAGTGTTTTAACAGGAAAGAAATACTTTAAATTCTTTGCTGGTTTTCTTTTGTAAAATGGGGAAAAAATGTCTAATTTTAACTTTAGTAAGAGTTTTCTGACTAATCATTCTAAAACAAACCAATCAGCCAGGCCAGTGTGGCTCAGTGGATTGAGTGTCTTCCCATGGACTGAGAGGTCCCGGTTTGATTCCTGGTCAGGGCACACGCTGGTTTGCAGGTTTGATCTCCAGAAGGGGGTGTGCCGGAGGCAGCCGATTGATGTTTCTCTCCCACATCAATGTTTCTATCTCTCTCCCCCTTTCTCTCTCTCTCTCTCTTTAAAAAAATCCATGAAAACATAGTTTTGAAATGAACCAATCAAACCAGATTTTATCTTAACAAGTGAATTATAATTTTCCAATATTAGCTATTTGAGAAATTCAATATAAGTTCAGAAAATTGAATAAAATATTTTATGGTGTCATAAGAATTTTAGAAGAGTTGTCTCTGGGAATTTAGCTTTGATTCATGTTTATATTATATATAAAATAGATTACAGAAACCTTAATATATATAGATATATATATATTTACAATTTTACTATAAAGCTAAGAATCCCCTAGCCAGTTCTTGTTTAGTAAAATCACTCTTCTCCTTTAATAATCAGTTACTTACTGTCTGTTCCAGATGCACCAGTGCACGAGTTTAACAAACAGGACGCAGGAAGCAAAGCCACACGTTGTCCAGTTCTATGCCTTATTCCATTTGCCTCTGACCTCATTTCCTTTCTTGGCATAAAAATACAAGAAGGAAACATGTTCAGCTGTATCCTATCAATATAAAGTCAAATACATAGTGAAAAATCAGAACTGCTTCAATACATACATAGTGCTTTCAATGAAGCAGTCTCTGTCTCTCACACAAGGGGGATGAGTGGACAGGGTCACTATTACCATAAAATATAATGAGTCTTACCAGAGTCTCTGATATTTATTGTGCACTTTTCTTTTTCAAACCAATATATCATTTAACATTTTCAAATTGCATATGATATGAGAAAACGATACTATTATGATAATAATATGATTTAAATGGTATTACGTGTATATGTAGAACATTTTCCTACTCCCATAAAATAACGAGATTACAAAGTAGTGAATGAATCTGAAACAATGCCATTTTCTAAACATTACACTAGAATATAAGTGTTTTAGTCCAGGTATTAAAATCATTATTTTATATAATTATATAATTATGTAATTATTTTATATAAGTATAAGTAATTTTACATGATTAATTATATATAAAAATTGTTATATAATATATTAAATGATATCACATGATAATTATTTGCTAATTTTTGTCTGGTTAGATAATATTTGTAGCTAATCTGATTTAGTATGAGTCTTGTTAATTTTACTTAATTGGATATGTTTAGCGCTGAATTTGTTTTGGTGGTCATACAACCAATGGTTGACTATGATGTTGTCATCACTGAGTTGAAAATGTATGTTAGTTAACTTTCCAAGGCTCCTAAATAATGAGTCTAAATTGATTTAGCCCATTATCAGTTCAATCTAAAGGGAATGAAATTACTAAAGCAAAGACCTTCATGCTGTTCATTCCTGTTTCCTGAATGACTGAATGTTTTTCAGTGTCTCGATATTTTAATAAGAGAGTTTAACCTTATTAATTTATTTATATTTTGGGCAGAAACTGTTACATTTAAAAATTTTTTCTCAGCAAAACTTTAGATGACATTTGCACTTTTCAAAAAATGGTTTGCTCTCCAACATTCAGATTTCATGTTACAGATGGTGTTTTGTATAACTAGACATTAAGACCTGAGAAACAGAGTATTCCAGGAGGGTATTGTGTCTTATGGTGCAATATCATGAGGAGTAAGACTTGAAGCCAAGAAACCAACAGCTGGAAACAGCAATAATCCCCAAGAAATGAATTTCATGGAATGTCTTATTACTATTTTAACTTAAATTTATAACATCAAATTAAGTAGAAAGATCAGAGCACTTTTGAACATTATTTACATAAGCTTGGCATCACTTTTAGCCAGTCCCAAACTATTTATGCCACAGATTTTTATAATCAAGAACATATTTTTCAGCATTTGTATGTGGATAGCTAATATGGTGTTTCTTAAATGATCATCTCTGTGAG